CTCTCCCATACACCCAAGAAGTTTTTAAACAAGGTTTAATAAGTGTTTAAGTTTGTTTAGTTTGTTTTAAGTTTGGGGTTTGAGGAGCGTACATCAATTGTTTAGGAGTTCATCTTCAATATCTCATCATCCTCTCTTTGTGTTTATAGAGAAGTTTCCTTAACTCAATTTTCTAGCATTTTTACTATTGTATTTCATATCAATTTTATTGCTAGTTCTTTTTCAGTTAGATTTTATTTATTCTCATTGTTACACACACCCATATGAGCTTATCGTATTTTCATACATAGTATATTTGGGTTGGTGAGAGTTGTAACAATTGAGTGTGAGCTACATTGAGTTCTCATCTATTATAGAGAACATATTTGTTGTTACATTGTTAGTGTTGTAAAGTTTTCGGTGAGCGTTGAAAACCGACATTGTGAGTGATTGTGAACGTTGATCAGTAAACGTTAAAAATCGATATTGTGAGGTGTAAACGTTATTCGGGTGAGCGTAGAAAACCCGGTTGTGATAGTGGATTTCTCCCTGGGAGTGGGGAGCGGAGACGTAGGACGGAAGGTCCGAACTCCGTGATCATTTGATTGTGTTTGAGTGTGCCTTGGCATTTATTCTTATTTGTGTTCATTGCTCATATCGTCATTGTCTCATTATTTAGTTTGCCCACTATCTAGTTTTAAATTGTTTACCCTTGTGTTAGTTTCATATCCTTGCATATATATCTCATAATATATCTCATTACTAGGATATATTCCTTTGTTCTTATTGCTTATCCTAGCTCATATATCTTATTGTATTTTATACTTGCTAGGATAACTTGTTAATTAGTTTAATTGGTATAAAATCGGAATAGATTAGCATAAGACCCTAATCACCCCCCTCTAGGGTCTAACAATAGCTTATCCTCTTAATGCTTCTGAATAAAAACTTAAAAGATAAAAAAATTATGTAAAATAAAAAAAATTAAACCCAAGTTAATTCCAAATGATGTTGATCCACAGGTGGAATTCCACCTATATAATATAAATGTAGCAATAGATTATTAAGAAATTATAAATAATTTTTTTGTTTTATATGCTTTTAGTTCTAGCTCTGATAGTATATATAGAATAACTGATGAAAAATGGATAGTTATATGTAGTGTAAAAGAGATGCTACAAGTTTTTTTTATGAAACCACAATGTTATTATTTGGTTGTTATTACTAAACTATTACTTAAGCTATTTTTACAAGTTCTAAGTATTCAAACTTTTTTTTACTAATTATCGTATGGATAATTATTTTGAAAATATGGTTTTAAACGAAAAGTAAATTTAATAAGTATTTTATACATAATCCTGGTTCTCATTGATCTATGTTTGAAGGATGTTGGCCTTCAAATTTTATTAAATTCTTTATATGAGAATATGATAATAGATATTGATGATGACCAGACTATTACTGTAGGAGATGATCTAATACACACTAAACACTAGAGGGGGTGAATAGTATTCCTGTAAGAAATTTACAAAGTAGATTATATATTGCAAGGAAAGAATAGCAACAATCACAGAAATTTGAGCAATCACAAACACAAAAGATTTATACTGGTTCTACCACCCCGGGTGTACATCCAGTCCCTAAACAAATCCAGCTTGAGAATTCCACTATGATTTTAAAAAAACTATTATAAAATTAAAAGTAAACCTGACCAATTTGCAAGACCATGCAAATTGCAATAATCTCTAAACCAAGAGATCACCTCTCACACCCGAGAGTAACCTTCTTTGATGAAAGAACACAATTCCTATAAGCCTTGAAGTGTAGGTGTTGTGCAGCAGTGGCTTAGAAACTCTTTTAATCTCTGATTAATGCCTAAACTCTTTGTATGTATGATTAACATCAATGTCATTCTCAAAAATCACTTTTATGAACACTTGGACTGAAAATCTGAAATTTTGAACTATTGAATTTGCACAAAAGGTTGATCTTATATGTATGAATTTTGGTGGCAAATTCTAAACTTTAATACCTATTTATAGCCTCTGAAAAGATAAATTTTTAAACCTAAATAACGTGCACAAATGACTATAAACAATCATAAATTCAAATTCTGAAATCTAGAAAAACTATATTTGTAGTCGACTACACTGAGTCAAAACAAACTTTGTGAAGTCAGATTATTTCTTAGTAGTCGACTACTATAGTCATTAGTCGACTACACTATAAAGACAGAGTTTCTGGAATTTTAAACTGGCTCTTAATAGTCAACTATAACTCATAGTAGTCAACTACACTGTAATTTCACAGAAACTAGAATTTTGTCTAAGTCTTTAATAGTCGACTACAGTATGTATTAGTCGACTACACTGTAAAATGACAGAAACTGATATTTTGATCAAGACTTTAGTAGTCGATTACTATTCTTATTGGTCGACTACTAAGGGGTAAATATGAGATATATGAAGTATTTTGAGACTCATTCTTCGACTACTAAGGGGTAAATATGAGATATATGAAGTATTTTGAGACTCATTCTTTATCTATAAACTCTAATGGTTAACATAGGGGTAAATATGAGATATATGAAGTATTTTGAGACTCATTCTTTATCTATAAACTCTAATGGTTAACATAAGGAATTTTTATTATTAACCACACATTAAGCATGTGTTAGTGTGTTCAAAACACTATGTGTGTGTATGTGTTGTGAGTGATCAAGGCTTGTACAATAAATATAAGTAAAGAAAATATAAAAATTATATTATGACGTTTATGCACTTCTTCTTCTTTACTTCTTGTTGCTTTGAACTCATCCTGCACTTTGTTCACATATCTTGATTATATTTGATGCTGATATCTGCATTGATATGTTAGTGCATAATAATACACATAGTATATAAGTTGTTATCATTAAAACTATATATTGGAGTAAATATATCCAACAGTCTCCCACTTTTTGATGATGACAAACAATTTATGCATATGTAAGTATATCACAAAAGAATTAAACACTTATGAACATTATATACTTACTCCCCCTGCATAAAAGCATATAAGAGTCACTGAAATTCATATATTTCAATATTTTCTCCCCCTTTGTCATTAGCAAAAAGAATTAAACATTTATTCTAAACATGCAAGTATTTCTTCTTCATGAGCTAACACTTCAAAAGGTCATCTAAATTGTGAACATAGTCCATTACTTCACCCATCCAAATAGGTAAGCAAATACTTGCCATAAAGACCAATAGTTTGATAACTTCCATCGTCATAATCTGTTTGGAATATTTAGCTGATGAACACAACTAATGCATAAATCATACTAAGCATAAAGTAAACATAGTAGCAACATTAACACAAATTGGTACATAGTCTTAAACATATAAAGCAACTTACGACATAATACATAAGTCTTAAGCAACTACCACATAGTTTGTGACATAAATAAATAAACCAACTTATGACATAGTTTTTGACATAAACATGAAACTAATCAAAGTACTACATGAGATGCATGCATGCTCCTCTAACATGAAGGACCTAGAGGAGGTGGATGTCCTTGGAAATATGCACTGAGCTTCAGATCCAAGTTATCCAACTTCTTGTTTATCTCTTCTTGATTTCTTAAAATGCATGAGTTCTGAGTATATATTGATTATTGCCCAGTTTCTAAACCGAGGATGCACGCAGAAAGGGTATTATATTAAGCATCTGAGAAGCATGAGGGATTAGTTTGCATTGGGGGTGGTATGTGACTTGAGAAGGGGCTTGCATGATGAGATGATTATGGAATTTCTTGTAGGATTTGTTCTTGAGGAGGGTGAGGCTCATCTTGGGATTTTGGTCATGAAGTTCAAAGTTTGTTAACTTCATCCTAGTTAGGACATTGGAATCAAAGAATTCAACAGAACGAACCACGGAGTTTTCAGAGTCAAGTTCAACACAATTTTTTTTTTAAAATTTTGGTTTAAAATGCACCATAAGGAAGAAATCCTCTTGGTATAACTAAAAGATTCTCATAGAAAATCTCAGTCTAATTCACTTGTATCTTTGCCATTATGGCATACATGACATTGGCTAAATCTAGTGAGATGAAATGAAAACACCCGGTTTTTGGATACAAATTATAAGCAAGGATACGAGCGATAAACCTAGGAATGAGTCTAAGTTTGTTTGAATGATTTAGAGGTTTTCCTTGTCCGGGAAGAAAGATATGATTCGAAAGTAAATTTTCATCCGACATTTTGACACTACTAAGACTACCACCTTGGTAAGGGATATTGAAATATTTCCAATTTTTTAGGAATTAGATTAATCTCAACTCCCTTAACAAGAGTATTGAGTATGTCAAATTTGTTATCAGTTTCAAGACGAGTGATATTTATGTAAAACAATTAAACTAAAAGAGGATAATGGAGTTTTTTTTATTTTCAGAAGAAAATAACTCTAGTGATCCAATATTTTCAAAATATGCACTGAAATTATGAGTTACAAAGTTTCAAACTTAACAAAACGATCAGGTAGTATCTTAAAGCACTACAACAAAGCTGTTTTTTATAGCGTTTATGTTGTAAGTGCTATAAATTCTATGTGCCTTATTTTTTGATAGCGTTTGAAAAATTTTAAACGTTATAAGTAGTTGATCGTAATTTTTTTTTGTTCTGACGCGTTGAAAAGTAAAGCGGGAGACTGAAAATTAAAACAGGCCCAAAATTTTATTACCCCCCAATTATTTTGATCCCTCTCCTATCAAATCCCCGATCCTTTTCCTCTCGTCGAAATCTCAAACCCTAGTTTTTCCCCCTTTTTTCTTTTTTTGGGAATCAGGGAGAAGTGCTGAGCGGTCTGAACGATCTCGTGATGATGAACCCTAGGCGATAGACTCTAGGCGACCGCGCCGTTGTGTACCCCTGTGCTCCGCTGGATCTCGAGGTGGTGAAGGGCGACATCAGATCCATGGAATGGGACGAGTACCCCATCGGATCGATCCTGGCTATCAGATCCGCCGTGGCCGTATCCTCACTACCTGTTTGATCTCTCAATGACCCTATCGATTCCTTTCTCTCAAATGGGTAATTCTTCTTTCTTTCAATTTTAATCCATTCCCTTTCTAATTCTTAATGATTATAGAATGGACCCATCAATTATTTTGATGTCTTCAATCGGTTTTCCTCTAAAAATATTTTCTTGTCGAGTTGATTTTGTGATTTTACAAGAATTAATTATTTGGTTTTAATTGGTTCTCTATGTTGTTGATTCATTTTGGGGATTTTTAATATGGGCATTAGGGTATCTTTTTTGTTGATTGATAATTAAATTTCTTTCCATTTTTTGGGTTTAATTTTACAGAGACAGATTTGATGAGTTCTCATTGGGACAGTGACGATGAGTACGAAAAATTCATTCAGAGAATGAACCCACCAAGGTTTGCATCTTTTGGTTTTTTTGGTCTATTCTTTTATTCATTTACTTTCAATCTTCTAATTTCTTTAATTTGTTCCATGTTAGGGTTGTAATTGATAATGAATCATGTGCTAATGCAACAGTTGTTAGAGTAAGTTATCAGGTTGATTGTTGCTCGCATGGGGCCGAAAAACTGGATTTAAGTTAAAATGTTGAGCAAATTGATCCAGTAACTCTTAAGCAACTCCTAAGGGGTTGCCTATTGATTCCATCATGTATTCTATGATCAAGCTTATTTATATTTGCAGTTGCTATTTCTTCAAACATCTACCTGTTACTCTATGCTTCTATCTTTCAAGTTGAAACATATTTAGCTGATAAGGAAGAGGTTTAAATCTGGAGCCTCTAAACTTTTCATTGTGCACTTTCAACTCGGCAAGGCTACTTGAAAGGCATAGTCGAACAAGCTTCTAATAGAAAATATTGGGACATATGGAACCAACAGAAGTTGAATCCTGAAATTGAAGCGAAACGCCAGAATATTTTAAATGCAAATCAGGTTAAGCATGTACCTTTCAATCATGTTGGATTTTAATAATTCAATTTATAATTCTGAACTCGGTGAATGTGCATTTTTCATGCAGAATTTGACAAATCAGATCATTGAACTGGAGAGACATTTCCACACTCTTGAGATAAATAGATTTGGTGGAAGTGGTAGAACTTCATTAGGTCATACAACTTTCCAGAGTGGTTCTCTGCGTGTAAGGTATGATACAAATGGAAATGCAGATTTGCTATGTGATATTTTTTAAAGCCTATAGTGTTTTCTTTAATAGACAAACTGGTGTTGTATTGTTTATTTGATGAAAATGTTTATATAGCAATTTCCTAATTTTAGCATAGCAAATTAAATCTACCATAGTTTATTTCTAATTATCGTGACATGTGAGGCTGACATCAGATCCCAAAGAGTATTACTTAAGTGTGACTCTCTAATATCTACTTGCAGGCAAAAAACAATCTTTGCAGAGTGTCTATAACACACTAAACTCACAATTAGCAGCAGTCGAGCATCTTTCTGAATGCATATCTCAACAGATGTCTGAGTTAAACTTAAACTCAGTTCCTGTAAAGCGGCAGAGCATAACAAAAGAGCTTTTTGAGTCGATTGGTCTTTCTGATGAAAACATGTCATTTGAATCACCAGTTTGCAAAAGATCCAGCCTTACTCTGTATTCTACGAGAACACCTCTATCCGTGACCGGTGCTATTAGGGACCATCTGAGTAAAAAGACATTAAGTGTAGCAAAGGCTTTTGAGCCAGAAACTGCAAGGAGGAGAAGGGACTCACTAGATAAAGTAATATTTTCTCCTTAAGTTTATTCTACAATTTAAGTTTTCATAGTGCATAACATATTTTGATCTCTATATGTGTTACTTGTGTTCCATTCATAGTATTGTAAGTAGTTTCTTTTTGCTTCTATTTGTTACAGTTCAATACATTCTTAGACATATGCACGCAATATAGGCAACAATCTGACTGATGAAATTAATCTTCTTAATGTTTTGAACTCTAAACATATAGACTATTGCCCTAAGTGAATTAAACTCAAAGCCAGGAATTTATTGATTGAATACAAGTGGAATGAAAGTATTAATGAAGTCTTCTAGCATTTGCAGGTTGCTTGCTTTAAGCTATCAACTATCTCTGCCCACATAAGCTAAAGATGACCCAAATAAGAATGAAGTCTTCTAGCATTTACTAGGTTCCAAAAACTGTAGTCCTAATATTTCATTGTTCTTTTCAGGATGATACATATATATTTGATTCCCATGATTTATATTGGTAGACGTTGATGATTTTTTCCCCTATGTTTAAAGGAGCGATTTACCCTTCCAGCTAAATTCTAATAGAGTACTAAATGAAACCTTCTTATCCATTTTCCAAATGTAGAGTTGTTCTTTTGCATGCATCTTATCCATTTTCCAGAGAAGCATCATATCTTGCTTCTGTGTACCCCCAGGTCTGTTCTTTCACGAATCAATTTGTTTCTGTGTACCCCCAGGTCTGTTCTTTCACGAATCAATTTGTCATAAACTTTATGTGCTCAATGATTATTGGTGTTGTTAATTTCTGTTTTTGCAGCAGTACTAGTACTCAATTACTGAAGATGATGAGTCTCCTAAGTCATATGTAATGCATCAAAGTTAGTTTTTGTTGTTCTGTGTACTATGGTTAATTTTTTGTACTCCATGTTGGATTATCCAAAGACTAGTATTTGTTTTTAAGCACATTTGTGTTGACTTTTCTTGTATGCTACAACTTGGTTATGTATCAGTTTGAACCTTTAAATGAAATATTTGCTTTTATGATTGTCATAATTGGAAGCTATTTCTAGTTCAACCTCAAAGGTTTATAGGCACAACTGAAATGCTATAAGAAGTGGAAACAATTGTTGAAATGCTATTAAAAGAAGAAAGACAACATTCGCTGAAACGCCATTGTAGTAACTCAAACGCTATCAAATGTAAGACAATAGCAGCGTTGAAATGCTATGAATGAAAACTAACTAATAGCATTTTTCAACCGCTATGAAAGATATTCGTCATAGCAATACAGAAACGCTATTGAATACCCTTTTATAGCTACATAAAAACGCTATGGTTGGAACCTTTTTGATAGCGTTTGGGGAAGCGCTATGTAAAGCCACAGACCTACTATAGCGGGTTCTGACACAGCGCTGGTTAAAATGCTATGAAATAATACCATAGCGTTTTTCGGCCGCTATAGATGATTTCAGGTGGTGTAGTGAAGGTTTGGAATTCTTTAAATTGTGCAAGCAAACTAGGATCTTTTAAGTACATTGAGTAGTTTTCAACAACATTTGAAGGACCAGATCTTGATCTCTTAGATCTAGACATGATTCAAGTAAGAAATTTTAAAAGATCAAGTGTAGGAGACTTACTCAAACTGTAGATGCCCTAGAAGATGTTAGTAGTCGGCTAATGGAGGTTGTAGTCGACTACAAGAACTGACAAACTCAAGAAAAATAAGGAACTTGAGGAAAATTTTGGAAAAAAAATGAAAGGAGTGAAGATGCCCTAACCTGGATTCGGTCCTGAAGAGGGGAGAGGGTTCCTGACAGTTTTAGGAGAGTGAGGGAGTGGGTAGTTATTTATTTAGGATAGTTTTCGTATATGAAAAATCAATGGCTAAGATTAAAACATGAATTCAAATGTATGGACATAGTTTAATCTCAATAGAAGTTGATTTAGGGCTAGGTTTGATTAGATAAAAAATGAGTGGTTGAGATCAATTTGACTTAAGTTTAATGGGTATTGGGTATTGGGTTTGGTGGGTAAAGGATCCAATATGCTCAAAAAACACATACATGTGAAAACTGCTATTTAAGTAGTCGACTACTAAGATAATTAGTCGACTTCTCTGTAGTTGACAAAGTTCTGTAAATCGAGTTGAACTTTGATTAGTCGACTACTAACACTATTAGTCGACTAGTCTATAATCGACATAAATCTGTATATTTGTTTTCACTTCAGATTAGTCACTACTATCTTTATCAGTCGACTAGTCTGTAATAAACATAATGTCATATATGCAAAATGTGTGCATGTAGTCGACTACTAACCTAATTAGTCGAATATTAAGGTTGTGTATGCATATGTATTGATCTTAAAAATTAATTTAAATATATTGAACATATACCTAATTCTCTTCTTTATTTAACATAAATTTCTTCTTTTAATAATTTGTTAATATATCTACAATTTGTTTATCGGTAGATATAAAATCTAATGAAATGTTACCTTTAAGCACATGATCACGTAAGAAATGATGTCTAATGTTAATGTATTTTGTACGTGAATATTGAATAGGATTTTTAGATAAATCAATAGAACTAGTATTATCACACATTATGGAGGATGTGAGACAAACTATACCATAATCAGATAATGTTTGTTTTATCCATAGAACTTGAGCACATGCAAAACTTGCAGTAATATATTCTGCTTCAGTTGTTGATAATGATACTGAATTTTTCTTTTTACTAAACCAAGATACAAGTGAATATCCTAAAAAGTGACATGTACCACTTGTACTTTTTCTATCGTATTTGCACCTGGCAAAATCAGCATCATTATATGATATTAAATCAAATGTGCTATTCTTAGGATAAAATAAACCATAATCTGTAGTATCTTTAAGATATCTAAAAATTATTTTTACTGCTTTAAGGTGTGGCTCTTTAGGAATAGGTTAAAATCTAGCACATAAACAAACACTAAACATTATATCGGGTCTACTATCGGTAAGATAAAGAAGTGATCCAATCATACATCGATATTATTTTTGATCAACATTATTACCATTCTCATCCTTGTCAAGAGATGTAGTTGTACTCATTGGAGTTCTTTTGCTTGTTGTATTGTCCATCCCAAAGCGTTTGAGTAATTCTTTTGCATATTTGCTTTGGTTGATGAATATTCCTTTCTTTAATTGTTTGATTTGTAGTCCAAGGAAGAAGTTGAGTTCACCAATGTGACTCATTTTAAATTCATCCTACATTGTCTTAGCAAATGTTTGACAAAGATCATTATTAGTAGAACCAAATATAATATCATCTACATATATTTGAATTAACAAAATATCTTTATTTATTTTCTTAATAAATAGTGTAGAGTCAACCTTCCCAATTTCAAATCCGGAAGTCAAAAGAAATTTCTTTAGTCTATCATACCAAGCGCGAGGTGCTTATTTAAGACCATATAAAGCTTTCTTAAGTGTAAAAACATGGTTTGAAAAACTTTCATGATTAAATCCGGGAGGTTGTTCTACAAAAACTTTTTCTTTAATAAAACCATTTAAAAAAGTACTTTTAACATCCATTTGAAATAGTTTAAAATCCATAAAATATACAAATGCAAGTAAAATTCTAATAGATTATAATTGAGCAACTGGTGCATGGGTTTCATCATAATCAATGCATTCTTCTTGATTATAACCTTGTGCGACCAATCTGGTTTTGTTTCTAATAACTTGTCCAGATTCATCCAGTTTATTTCAAAATATCCATTTGGTTCCTATAATGGATTTATCTTGAGGTCTAGGCACAAGATCTCAAACGTTATTTCTTGTAAATTGGTTGAGTTCCTCTTGTATAGCTACAATCCAATAATCATCTTTACATGCTTCTTTAATATTTTTAGGTTCTATTGTAGAAACAAAAGCAACATGACTATATAAATCCAATTGTGATCTAGTTTGAACACCACGAGAAATATCACCAATGATCAAATCATGTGGATGATTTCTAACTTCTACATATGCTTTAGGTAAAATATTAGTATCATTAGAATCATTAATAATAATAGGAGATGGCTGATCATTAATATCATCATCATCATCATCATTATTATCATCACTAGTATTAACATAAGATTCATCAAAAGAAACATGCATTGATTCTTCTATTGTAGAAGTCTTTTTGTTAAAAATTCTATAAGCTTTACTATGCATAGAATAACCTACAAAAATACCTTCATCAGATTTTGAATCAAACTTATCTAAATTTTCTTTTGTATTTAATATATAACATTTACATCCAAAAACTTTAAAATATGAACCTTTAGAAATACGGTTGTAAAATAATTTAAAACTTGTTTTATTTAAAATAGATCATAATAAAATTCTATTTAAAACATAGCATGTAGTATTAATTTCTTTTGCCTAAAAATATTTAGAAAGTTTAGAATCACATAACGTTGTTCTAGCATATTTTTGTAAAGTTCTATTTTTCCTTTCAATAACTCCATTTTGTTGTGGAGTGTAAGGAAAGAAAAATTCATGTAAAATAACATTTTTATTATAAAAATTAAAAAATAATTTATTTTCAAACTCATCACCATGATCACTTCTAATAGTGACAATGGTAGCGGATTTTTGATTTTGTATCTTTTTTAAAAAATGTAGAAAACTCATTAAAAACATCATTTTTATGCTTTGAAAACATAACCCATGTAAATCTTAAATAATCATCAACAATGACAAATACATATCTACTTCCATTTAAAGATACAATTCTAGAAGGACCAAATAAATCCATATGTAATAATTCTAGTAGTCTACTTGTAAAAACAACACCTTTAGATTTAAAAGTTGATTTATGTCTTTTTTTTCTTATTGACATGCATCACAAAAATGATTTTTATTATTTATAATTTTAGGCAAACTATTTACTAAACTATGTTTAGAAATACGTAAAATATTTTTTATATTAATATGTCCATATCTTTTATGCCATAATAATGAATCATCAATTGATGCAACTAAACAATGATCATTGGAATAAAAATTTATGGATAAAACATATATATCTTTCTTTCTACTTCCTTTTTAAATAAAATATTTGTTAAATCATTATCATAGATAAGACATAAATCTTTTTCAAAAACAATTTTAAAATTCTTATCACATAATTGACTTATACTTAGAAGATTTTATTTTAAACCATCTACTAATAAAATATTATCTATTAGTGGTTTATCAACGTTACCTACGGTTCCAACACTAATTACCTGACCTTTGTTTTTGTCTCCAAAAGTTACAGTTCCTCCCTTTTTGTATTAAACTAAAAACAACATTTGAGTATTTTCGATCATGTGTTTGGAACATCTACTATCTAGTATCCTCTTTTCTTTTTGAGGTACCTAAAATATAGACATGTAAACATTGATACCCTTTTATGTTGGGTCCATTGAATTAGCACTTAGGGGACCAAATCCACTTGGAATTTGGTTTTCTCTTGTTAACATAAATATAATTAGTGGAATTATATATGTTTTTCTTAAAATTTGAAATATAAGTATTTCTTTCATGCAAACTTGTGTTTTTAGTCACCCAAATAAACATAGATAAAACATGATTATTTTTAGCATGTATATTCCTTGATAATGGCGCATGGAATTTACTAACATTTTTAGTCATAGAGGATGATGCATGATGTGTTCTATTAACATTATCATTCTTCTCATGAACATATCCTAAACCAAATTTTTGATAAAAACTTTTAAAAAGTTAATAAAATAGTTAAGTCTTCTTTTCCTTTATTAAACTTATTTACATTTAAAAACAACTCTTCATATTTGAGTTTAAGAGAAACCACATTATTATCTAAATCTAAAATTTTATTTTTCATAACATTGCATTCAGATTTAAGATAAACATTATTTTTAGTTAATAATCTATTTTCAGAAAATAATTTGTCATTTAATTCCTTCAAATCTTCAATTTGTGTAGAATTTGAAGAAACAGATTCTATGTTTAATCTTTCATTTTTATTTTTTAAAATCTTGTAATTAATATT